CCCCCCACACCCACCCACCCACACACCCCCCCACACCCAGCAAGTCTCCTAGAGGAATTCATAGCCCAACCCCCCCCCACACACACACACACAGACACACAAAATCAGTCATCCTCTCCAAGTACAAAGCGGGGCTTCGATAATAGCTTGGATATGTTCTTTCCCAAGACAAGAGAGCTGGCAGGTCAAAGAGGGACTTTCCGGATAAATCCCGTCTGGGGAAATTTATTATATGAGTTCTCCTGCAGCAATTAGAATCGCCAGAGGCTCTCTTAGGAGCTCGGCCTTCCCTCCTTCTTTAAAGAAAGTAGGGCTTGCAAAGTCCAACCTGCCAAACTCTTAACTGGGAACAGTTTAGCGACAGAGGTTTGCTGTCCAACCTGCAACCAGACAGTGGACTCACTTGGAACCAGGACTTAGCCCGGAAGTAGGATATTAGCCAATGGATGTTACCGGCCGAAGCACTACCTACAATGATCAGAACGATGCAGGGCGCAAGGGTGGATGACTCTTCTCTGGGATAGTGACTGTCCCCACCAACCCCCTGGAGACTAAACTAAACTGGCCTAAACTGGCCTCCTCCACACACCCGTCCCAGAACCCTCCCTTTCCAGGTCTTCCCAGGGTGCTGCTGACCCTGCCTGGCGACCCGGAAAGCCCCAGCATCTCCCTGGCGCTCGCCGCGGGCCTCGCCAAAGGGCCCTTACCAGGTTCACCGGGTGCACATAGCCGTTCTCGTAGCGGTCCTCCTGCAGCAGCTGCCGCAGGTGCGCGATGTAACTGGAAGCCAGGCGCAGCGTGTCCAGCTTGGAGAGTTTGGTGTCTGGGGGCACCCAGGGCAGGCTGGTCTTGAGCCTGGAGAAGGCTTTGCTCAGCACGCGCATCCGGGCGCGTTCGCGGGCGTTGGCTGCGTTCCGCTGCGATTGCTTGCACTCGGCGGGCGAGCCCTTGGGCGGGAGGGACTTCTTGCCACTGCCACCTGCCCCGCCACCTGCTCCGCCGCCCCCAGCCACACGGGGCCGCTTCCTCTTGCAGCCTCGGGCGCTGCCGGCTAAGCCCAGAGCGCACTGCTCCTCCTCGCCGTCGGGGTCCTCCTCCTCCGCAGACGAGTTGTCACTGGGTGAGGCGTAGCTGGGCTCGGCACCGCGGAGGGGCGGCCTCTTGGAGGCGGGGACCGGGAACCCTCTCTGTAGCCCCCGCAGCTCCATCTCCTCGGGGTCGCTCACGGAGCCTGTGGACATCGCGTAGTCCCTAATGCCCACGCGCGGCCGCCTTGCTCCCCCCTGGCCAGTCTCGACGTCTCCGCCTTCCGCTCTCAGGCGGAGGCGGGGGCCCGGGAGAGCTTGGAGGAGGACTGGAGACTTGGGCCCAGAGTGCAGAGGCGTGAGAGCCGGCCTGAGAGCTCGCGCGCCCCGCCCCTGACCCCACCGAACCTGGCCCAGAGTTGGCGTCCGGGTCAAGGCCCCGCGCGCACAACCTGGAGCTGAGCCTTGTCACAGGACTATTTATCTGGCCCGCTCGGAGTAAACCACCCCGGGCAAAGAAGAGGGGGATGGAAAGGGGGGCAAGAGGTGGGGCAGGGGCGTGGAAGGGGTGGAGACCGATTTTCTGCCTGTCCTGGAGCAGTTGGTGGGGGTAGGGGAGGGGGACGTCTTTGCTGAGCCCAGATTTGGGTCCGAACTCCCAAGGAACCTCTCAATATTCGTGCTAGATGAATCTGCTTGGGGAGTGCGAGGATGAAAGGGTAGACCTTGATCCTCTCCATCCCACTTCCACCTTTGACTAGTCTCAACGGAGGCAAAAATCGCCATCAATATAGCCAGAAACCCCGACCTCTGCTTCTCTGCCTTTTCCTCAAAACTCATTTTTTCAAGATCATCGCTCATGCTGTATGACTGCCTATACAAGGCTTGTCCGATAAAAGAGAGAGCAAAACAGGCACGCACCCGATAATGCACAAGGAACTGCTCCGTTTCTTTCTCCTCCTCTCCTTTCAATAGAGCTTTATGATTTACAAAGCATTTTTACATTCGTTGGTTCATTTCATCCTCAAACAACATCTGTAACTTCAATGATATTGCCTCCACTTTGCAGGACTTGAAGCCAAGCCACATAGATCGATGTTAAGCAAAAGACCCAAATCACCAGGCTGGTAAGTAGCAAAGGGACTCCGAATCCGTGTTTAGTATCCTTAGGTATTCCAAAGTCCGCACACACCTCCCCTTCATATACTGGATGTTCCTGGTATTTTCTACTCTTTTGGGAGTTCCATGCCGGTTGAGTTTATTTTTAATAGCACATGTGTATAGTTAGAGAATTCTACCCTAACGCTTTGGGTTACAGCATAGGGAATCCATTACTACTTTAGATTGTGCATTGAAACACAAGCTTCTGGATGGTAAGTCAGCACAATTGTCCAATAAAAGTTAACCAAATAAACAGAGTTCTCAGAATTATCTTATCCCATTCCAACTGAAACTAAAATGCCTGGCCCCCGTTCCCAAAGAAAAGGAAAGAGAAGTGTAGTTCATCATTTCCTAACTCCAAGGTCCCTGGAATACCTGGTAAGGGATGAGTACTTTGTTTTGCAAATGCACCGTGGCCAACCAAGGAGGGCCTCTGCTTTACATTGAGGAAACAATCTCCACTCCCACTTTGGTATTCTTTTTCTCCTTCCCCTACAAGTCCCCAGACTCCCAACCTGAGCAAGGTGCAAGGGGACTAGAGGGGACAAAGCCGGTAAAAGCTGCTGGGCTTGCCCAGCTCTGTGGGCTCTTCCAGCAGAACGAATGCGCCAGGCTCTGTGCCTGAAGTGCCACAACAGGTGGCTGGCCTGGCTGACTTCATCTCTCAGGCATTGGTCCACCTTGTATCCCAGGCTGTGCTTCCCTTCTGGGATTTTTCACACAGTCCCTTCCACGCTCTCTCATTCTGAAGGTTTTCTCCCTGTATATTTTTGTCCCCCCCTCCCACCCCCGTGGATTTATTCCAGGGCAAGTTGAGAAAATGATCATGGTGTTTTCTCTGTTCTCTTTGGGTTGGGGAAACACAGGGAATATTTGATGTAGCAGGGAACTCTCTCTTGGTGCTCTTGAACTTGAACTTGACTGTAGGCGGGCCTTGCCAGGCAGGGAGGGGTGGGGGCAAAAAGATGCAAAAGAGGGGAGACCTCAGGCTAGCTTTGGCCTGCCTATTGATGACTTGAAGCTATCAGTATAAATACATAGTCTCACACATCAGGGGCAGGCATATAGGTTTTTAAAATCTGGATTGTTTATACAGGTGCAGAACAAAGTCTTTCTTTAGGAAAGATTAATGGTGGGGAGAGCACTAGATTTCTCTAAACAGTCTCAAAAACTGTACCCAGCCTCAACCCTAAGGGGGTCATGGCCAGTTACTTTTTCTTAAAGAAACTGCCTGACCTCAAGATTCAGGCTAATTTTTCATAGCACTAACTTCCACCCCCCCCTTTTCTCTTTCTCTTTTTCTCTT